GTCCCATCACTCAACCTTCCAGATTCCAGTTGCTCCCTCTCTGAGCAGAAATATCTACATCTGTCTCCTCTGCCTCCCAGGGTTACCTGATACATCTCAGAAACCACCATATGTGTGGCCACTGACCATAGCTCAGCTGCTCTACATCTGTCTACACAATCCTAGGCTGCCACTTCACTGTGGTTTGGGATCTAGGACCAAGGTGGCAGTGAACCACCAGGTCCTGCGAGGGCCAGGCCACTAAACCTGGTCCCAGATCTCAGCGCTATCTCACACAGATCTGTGGAATCCTTCCTGCATGCACGTCCCAGAGCAAACCTGATGTTGGCACTGACCCCACCCACGTAGGCTTGTTTTGTGATGAGGGGAAATCACAGACCACTCCCTGTCACTTTCTACATCCAGAAAATGCATTAACTTGGCTGTAAAGATCAACGGAAACAGGGAGTATGGAGGTTCTTGTAGCAGCATAAAGTGGAAAAAAATCCAGAAGTAGTCATAATAACAATAGTAACCATCATTAGCAACCCCAGGTAAACAAAGAGGCATTAATTATATATCTGGGGCTGCAGAGTGATTTCATTCTTCATGTTTGTTTTTCCCATTTTACATGCGGGGAGACTGAGTGTTACAGTTAGACATGAGATGTCTCCCCAAACTTATGTGTGAGTCAATGCAAGAATTTTCAGAGGTGAAGAGAGATATAACCTAATCAGTGGATTAATCCACTGGTACAGATGAACTGGGTGGGAATTACAGGCAGATGGGGTGTGGCTGGAGGAGGTGGGTCACTCCTGAGCTGCTTTTTTCACTGCACCCTTTTACACGATGTTCTGTCTCATCTCTGGTCCAGAGCTACGGAGTCAGCCAACCATGGACTGGATCTCTGAAGCCGTGAACCTCTAACTTTTCTTTCTCTAAGTTGTCCTTGTCAGGTATTTGGTCACAGTGACTCAAAAGCTGACTAAAAACACTGAGGCTCAGAGAGATTAGCAACTCCTCAAAGGTTAAACCTGAAGGGGTGGAACTTAAGCTGTCCAAAAGTAGAGGCTGTGTGCTGGCCATTTTTCTATGTTGTCTTCTTACTGTTACATCCGACATGGTTTTTACTTATTTGGGGCATTTGAACAAAAGTTGCATTTGAATGGGAAGCGGTAATTATCAGTAAAGACAGAGTAATATATTTTGCATAAGATCTCAGAATATCTGTGCCTGTGTGTACCTGTGCGTACATGTGTGTGTGCATGGGGACTTTAGTGACGAGAGCATGGGCCATGGCTTTGGTTGGGTCTAAGCTGTCATTCCATTACTGATGCTTGCTTGCTGTGTGACTATCTGGGACAAGCTGCTGAACTTCTCAGGGATGTGTACTTATCATTCAGATGGGAAAAGCAATAGTGCTATTATAAAATTTATATAAAATTATGAAAAGGAGTCAGAAACGGTTTAACTAGTAAGAGCCAACGCCAATCACAAGTCCTGTGTGCCAGCCACTGTTCTAAGCACTCCATGCGTATTAATTTACTTAACCCTCATACAAACCCTACAAGGGAGGTGACACTGTAATGCCCATTAGATAGACTGGGAAAACGAGGCACAGAGAGTCTTAACCACTTGCTTGAGGTCACATAGCTACTAAGAGGCAGAGTGATTTTAACCACCAACCTGTGACCTGTCTTGCTCAGGTGAAGCTTCCTAAATGCCTAAGAAATGTGAGCTACCATTATTATCAGTGCCAGTGATTTTCAAATGACTACTTTAAGTTGCAGGACCCTTTTATTCAAAAGAAGTCCTTTGGGAGTCTTTAGGTACTAAAGGTGGAGCTTCTTGTTTGAAGTCACGATGAGGATTCCTCCCTGACCTCATGCAGAGCCACCCTAAGGCACCTCTGGGGATGCTGGAGTTCTGAGGAACCCAGTTGGGAGACCACTGGTTCCAGCTTTGCATTCCTGGTGTACCTGTACCTTCTCCCCTTTCCTACTCCCAGTTCACCCCAATCCCAGTAAACCACAGCCAGAAAACCAGAATGCATTCCCAGGGCCCCATCCCACACTCTTCTCCCTTCCCCCATGACCACGTCTGTGCCCAGACACTGGGCTGGGCTAGGGTGACCCACCGGTTTTGTCTGAGTTGCAGAGGATGGTCTCCTTCTCGGCTCTCACGCCAGGGCTGGGGCCGTGCTTCATCCACATGGTGATGGTGAACTGGTCCGTCAGGTTCTTGGGCACAATCCCATCTGGGATCTTGGCACCCTGCCTGCCGTCAAACTTGAAGATCATCTCACTGCTGTCCACCAGCAGTCCTGCTGTCCAGTTGGTGGCAGCACTGGGGGACGGTAGGAGGTCAATGATGCCCGAGGAGGCTCCTGCAGGGCGGGGTGGGGGGTGGGGTGGACAGAAAGCACAAAGGGTCAGTCCTCAGGGGTTGGGCAGCTTCACCTTCTGTTTTTCTGCTCCTGGGTCAGGTCTGTGCCTAGACCTGAGCTCGGTGACTTGGGAACAGAAATGTCCAAGGCCATCCCCATCCCTGGGGAGGTAGCAGTCACTTTGGCATCAGACGTAAGTGATGGCAGTGGCCAGGTGGGGTGCAATCCATCCATCCATCCATCCATCCATCCATCCATCCATCCATCCATCCATTAACCCATCTGCTGTTTCTTGAGCACTAACTATGTGCCAAGAAACATAGTTAGGTGCTGGTGGCTCAAAGGTGCATCAGACACAGTCCCTGACCTACAGGAGCTCAGAGCCCACACATTGACCCAGCATGATCCACACTGTGACTGGGGAGAGTTCCAGGGCCTGATCCCCTGAGAAGCAGTGTGAACCCCTTTATTCTCAGTATGTTTTTTTATTATTATTATTATCACTCATTGAGGTCAAATGGTACAGTGGTTGAAAACATGAGCTCTGAAGCCAGTAAAGCTTGAATTTGACACTTGGCAGCATGATGTGCTAGCTCTGTGACAGAGAGCAAGTCACCTGACCTCTCTGCCTCTATCTTTCCTCTCCCCATTGTGTTTGGGGACTGGATGAGATAATGCACCAGAGCTTGGAGCAGCATGCTCGCCACATGGTGAGTGTCAGCTATGACTTTATCACCAGCTCCACTATTATTTCTGCCACCACTAGTATTCCGGGCTGAGGCCAGGGGATGCTGAGAGCCATAGCCAAGTAGGAATGACGCATGGCATTTTTGGTTGAAAGGTGATGGCAGCAAGCCATTGAAATGATAAAGATTATGTTAAGATGTGCATTCAATTGGAGATTAGACCCCTGCTGTCCTCCTCAGCCTGCTACTTTGGAGCTCTCCCGGGACTCCCAGAGAGTTCCCATTGGTTGGGGAAGTGCCGTAGGAGGGATTTCCGGAGGAGGGATCTCCTGTTGGTGTGGTGTGCCCCAGGAGAAGGCCACGTGAGGAGCATTCGTGGGAGTTTTGGAAATGAAGTTTGTTCCTGCTTGAGTGGCTCGTGATTTTGTGCCCAGCCAGACTGCGGCAAGGGGACATAAGCCGAGCAGTGACAAACAGTGGAAAGATGAGCTTTCAGTGAGAATCGCAGGTCAGCTCAGTGGAGTGAGGGCTGAGGTAAGAGGGCGAGGCTGCACTGGGGGAGAAGAGGGGACTGTCCCCCTGGGTGGAGCCCCACTCAGTTTCCCAAAAGGCTCAGATGCAGAGTGCTCTGCATCCTTCTGTCCATACAGAGGCAGGGCCTCAGCCACTCAGGGAAGACGGAGGCCAGGAGCTCCTTGCTGTGTTCAACTAATAAGAACTGGGGCGTCTAAGGCCCAGAGTGTAGGGGCTGCCACCCAGCACCACACTGCGGTCAGTCATAAACTTGGATGAAAGCTGACTGTGGGCACCTGCTGCTGGTCAGCATCATGGAGTTTTGACTTCTGTACAGCAGAGCCTCGTCTCACCTAGGTGTGGGTTTCGAGGTCAGCTATCACAGACAATCTCCCACAGTTAAGATGGCCCCTGAAAACCCTCAGGAAGGTGCCATATTGGAACCAGAAGACTTCTTTAAAAGGTTCAGCAGAGCCAGCTTCCCTGCAGGCTAGGAGCAGATCACCCGCTCATAGCCTTGGAAGGCTGCTCTATGTGCAAAATCTGCCTCCTGGGAGCCCAGATGCTCTGAACTGCTGAGTCTGAGAAGGCAGGAGATGCCTGATTTGTGCTCAGCAAGGGAAGTGTGGGCAGTAGGGACACCATCTACATGGGTATTACCCAGGGGTCTCGCTTATCCTGTCTCAGAGGCATAGCAGCCCTCAGTTACTCCTGACTGCCCACCTTCCCACTTGGTGCCCCCATGAGATGCTCTGGATAGTCACCCGATGTTCAGATGACCTGACATCAGTTTGACATCAGGATTTCCAGTATGAAGACAGCTAGTGACTGGGGAACACATCGTGTCTGTTGGTTCCCATGTCTGGGGTGGCCATGGAGATGTGGGCTGACTGCTCAGGGCTCCCGACAGCTAGCTCAGGCCAAGGATGCCACACAGTGGGGCACAGCCCAGGGCACAGATGAGCACATGGTGCTGATGGAGGCTGGCTCTGCCATCCACGCAGCAGCCAGGACTCCACACTGGGGGTCTGGAGGAGGGCTCAGCAGGACTTGAAACGCCCCCACATGAGGTCCTTCTTTTGGCTCTGCTGTCCCTGTAGAATTCACACTGCACTTGGCACCTCAGACTAGGGGAGTGATCAGTTGAAAATTCAGGACTGGTTTGGGGTGACGTGAAAGAAAGTTTGGTGATAGAATAACCCAAGCCCTGGATGGTGACATTCTATACATGTAGCTGATTTACAAGACTTTACTTTTTATTGTTTTTGCAGTTATGAAATTGTTATTTTCCTTGCATTTTTTTTTGATGGCACTGAGTGGCGTCAGACCTGATTTAGTTAAGTACTTTACATGGTCCTTCTTAGTTACCTGTCTGTAGTGAATACTACCAGGAGTCCTGTTTACAGATAAGAAGCCCCAGGCTGAGCAAGCCCAGGACTGCACTCAGCTAGTGAGGGGCTCCATCAGCATGGTTAGCTCCAAAGCCCAGGCTCCCCACTGGACCACCTCAGTGAACCTGGAGGAAGATCGTGTAACCTCCTGGGAATTTTGCAAATATGGACACTGAGCCCCAAAGAAGGGAAAATGACTGAACCAAGATCGCACAGCAGCACTGCTGGCTGGGGGCAGGTGCAGCGCTCAGAAACACGGGCAAGGGTCTTTCTACCACACTTCGGTGTCCATGGGGCCATCTGGTTGGCCTGCACAGCATAGCCCTGTGCCACAGGACCCTCCCGCTCACACAGGTGGCTGATGCCACAGAGAGGCTTATTGAGGACAACATGTATCCTGGCAAGGACATTGATGTGGAATCCCTGTCTTCCCTGTGGAGGGGGAGTGACAGGCCACCCTCTCTGTCTTGTAGATGTTGCCTGCAGAGAGCATGAAGCCGTGTTTAACCAGATGGTACAAACTTCCACAAATGTAACAGATTGCCTTTCATCTCTTGGTGCACTTAAACAAACAGAGAAAGATTTACTTTCTCCCGAGTTCTTCTGTCTCTTCTCCCCACAGGATCCCACGGAGAGCAGAACAGGGTGCATAGTGGATATCTCACTAGCAGTGATGATGCACATCATCTTAACACCAGAGTGCATTTAAGATGTTCCTTTGGAATCCTCCAGAGGTGAGGTCTGATGCCAGCTCCCTGGGCCATTCGGAGTTGGGGAAGCCACTCTGAGATAGGGGTAAAAGAGGCAGCTTTGGGGGCACACTATGGTATAAGAATTAAAATAGGGCCAGGGGATGGTGGTCAGTTTCTGAATCTAGTTTATGGGTTTGCATTCTGCTCTGGGTGTCCTTGGTGTGAGCAGATAGCATTCCTGGCACTTCAAAGTGGGCCTGTCACAAGGGTGATGGGCACAGAGTCCTCTGGGTCTACCACAGGAAGTTGGAGGGGGGTGATGGAAGTGCGAGGGCTTTAGGGAGATGAGCCACTATGAACAAGGAACCATTCTGTGCAGTATTCTGGACAAGACACAAGCGAGCATGGTGGCTTCACCATACAGACCTCATGTCATTTCAATAAATGCTGACATCATGCTCAAGCTGCGTCAAGGGCATCCATGAGCCAGACCAGGGATTCTACCTCCAGGGACCCAGTAAGCCTTTCCCTTTCTAGAAAGTGCCCCTAGCCAGCAGTGTTGCTGTGTGATCTTGGTTCAGTCATTTTCCCTTCTTTGGGCCTCAGTTTCCATATTTGCAAAATTCCCAGGGGGTGACATGATCTCCCTCCAGGTTCACCGAGGTGGTCCAGTGGGTGGTCCAGTCAAGTGGAAGAGAGTCTCAGGGGACACCAGGGAGGAACTCTACAGGTGTCTGACGGACCACCAGGGCTGTCTAGCGGGGGAACACATCTGTATGCAACACACTCTCTGACCC